TGTCTGAAGCTCAGAGAAATGCTCTGGGCTGAGGTTATAGATCTGGGAGTCATCAGTACGTAGTTGGTTCTTTAATTCATTAGAAAAGACAACAGCACCCCAATGAATGCACAGTGCTAGAAGTGACATAGGCCCACAGAAGAGCCCTGCAGCCCAACAGCATCTTTGGTATAGGTGGAGGAAAATGAGCTCATGAAAGAGTCTGATAAGGAGTGACCAAAGAGGTAGAGAGAAAAACAGGCGAGGCGCAGTGGCTCAGGCATGTAATCCCAGCATTTTGGGAGGCCGAGGCTGGCAGATCACCTGAGGTCAGGAGTTCAAGACCAGCCTTGGTGAAACCCCATCTCTACTTAAAATACAAAAAATTAGCTGGGTGTGGTGGAGCACACCTGTAATCCCAGCTACTCAGGTGGCTGAGGCAGGACAATTACTTGAACCCGGGAGGTAGAGGTTGCAGCGAGCCGAGATCATGCCACTGCACTGTGTAACAGACTGAGACACCATCTCAAAAAAATAAAATAAAAACCCAGGAGAAAGGAATGTCACAAAACCAAGGGAAGAGATTGTTTCAAAAGGAGGGAGGAGTGTCGAGGTCAATAGTGATGAAGGCTGCCAAGAATTAAGAAACGTAAGACCTGAAAAAATGTCTGGGGATTTTGATGATCAAGTGGTGGTCTCTGGTGACCTTGGAAGGAACAGTTTCAGTGCACATGTTTGTGACATAGATTGCTCATTGTTTACCCTGATATCCATTCTCCTCTTCTTCCTTAGTAATTAACCATCTGATCTTTAGCTAAATACTTAGCATCCCCGAATAAAGGCCAAGAGGACTAGGGTCACACTCTAAGGATACAGGATTAGTAAACTAAAAAGAACCTGGATCCGTAACAATTTCATGAAGCCAACGTGAACTGCCTACCGCTGGATTTCTTTTAGGTGAGGCAAATAAATGTATGTCTTATTTAAGCCATTGTTATTTCAGAGTCTATTCCATGCAGCAGTTTCCTGATTGTAGTAAGCTGAGATATGAATAGCAGGTATTCATGACAATGGGTATGGAATGCTTTCCCAAGAAACACCTGAGCTTATTGATTTCAAGGCTCTCCCAAAATCCAGCCGCCACTGCTTTTATAGCCCTTTCCTTCTGTTTTTCTGAGTGTACTAAATACAGTTGCCTATATTCCACCTAAACAGAACGCTTCATTCTAACCAGATATGCCCTGCCTTCTCTTGCCTAGGAGCCTTTGCTCATGCAATTTTGTCCCCATGGGAAACACCCTCTGTTACAACTACCCTTCTGGTGTATCTACACTCTGTTATAACCTCCAACATTTTAAGTTTCACAATGTTTTAGGTCCCAGTTGGGTCGTTGAGATCCTGGGGTAACTTAAAGGAATACAGAGTCAGAACCTTAGGAGATATTGTTGGATTCGAGGAAGTCAGGAAAAATCTCAGTCCAAATCCATCAGAGGCATTCCCAAAGATTGTCAAACCCAAACTTCCTCAGACCCCTTCCAATTCTGCCACCTTCATAATATAATACCATAAACACCCTTATCTTATAACCTGGGGATCAGAGGGCAGGAGGCAACCTTATCAGGAGAGAAAAGACAAATTATTTCATAATCTTTACCCTTTGACCAGAGATATTTCCTCCCACCTTCTCCTTGTGAACTCTTGGAATCTTGATCTTCAGCATCCACCTATAACCTCTGAAGAACCTAGGTCACTGGGTCTCAGACCCATTTCTAGCACCCATAGATCAGTAGACACATATCTGAGACCATATAGATCCTACGTATCAAGATGAAAGATGAAAGGCTGTTATCATCAGGCAGCTCTGTTCTGAAGATTAGAAAAGGCAAGCTAAGCATTGCTTCGTTCAGAATGCTGGGACACCACTGTCTAGTACCACAGGCATCCAAGACTCCAGATCCCTGAAGTTCAAATGGAAAGCCCAGAATATCCCCACCACCAATCCTATCCTGGCACATTTCCCTTCTCCCAAAATATACAGAATCCATATCTCTGAATTTTGGAAAATTCAGAGGTGATGCTGGGAGTGGATGGCAAAGGTTTCCTTTTAAGGCTGCCCATCACTTCTTTAGTCATTTAAACCATGCAGCCTAGCATAGAAATCAATTTTAAATTGGACATCAGACATTCTTGTTCTTCAGATTTCCATAGCCATTCCCACCATTTGGAAAGGCCTGATAATTGTTCCTTCTCCCAGGCCCCATTCCACATCCCTGTTGGACCCTTTCTGTCCCCCAACATGCTGGCAACTTCTCTCCTTTCCATTTCCAGGCTCCTGTGTTTTCTCTCTCTCTCTCTCTTTCTTCCCCACCCCACCCCTAGGATCTCACTCTGTCACCCTGGTTGAAGTGCAGTGGTGTGATCCCGGCTCACTGCAACCTCCACCTCCTGGGTTCAAGTGTTCCTCCCACCCCAGCCTCCAGAAGTAGCTAGGACTACAGGCACATGCCACCACACCCAACTAATTTTTTTTTTGTATTTTTGGTAAAGACAGGGTTTCACCATGTTGCCCAGGCTGGTCCCAAATTCTTGGACTCAAGCCATCTGCCTGCCTCGGCCTCCCAAATTGTTGGGATTATAGGCATGAGCCACCACAACTGGCCTTTGTCCTCTTTCTTGAGCTGCTGGTAAAATCTCATTTTTCCCCTTTTATCTGTAGGGTAGTTTAATTTACTTTGTTTCATTCTAAGCCCTAAGGGCTATCTTTCCACAGCAAAAATGGCATTTTGTTAAACCAAAGACAAATTTTCCATGGATGAGGAAACCTGCTACCTATTTTTGGACTAACTCTGATTCTCCCCTGTTCTCTGTATATCGAGTCCCTCCTCAGCACAAGCTATGAGTCATGATTAGGCCATTCAACAGAAAATGAGCACCAACAATGTATTAGACACCTCTACAGAGATGGCCCTTGCTCTTAAGGGGCTTATTTTTATATTGGGTGAACACTAGTCTCATTTCACACATGGCAATATTAAGAGTGAGAAAGGTAACTTGCCCAAGGCAAGGTGACCAATAGGTGGCACAGAGAGGACTTGAACCGAGGTCAGTGGAATATCAAATACCAAAGCCTTAACCACTACACTGTACTTTGTCCAGTTTTTTAAGTCCCAGAATATCCTTTCCAACACTCTTCACAGACATAAGCTAGGCACATTACAGTATGTTTTTCATCTATGGAGGCAAGTCTAACCGGATATCCACATGCCCATTTAGATATTGTCATAAAGTGTCATAGGAAATATAATTACGTCATTGTTATGAGATTAACATTCAGTTTTTAACATTTGATTTTTATGAATTTCCTGCTTGTACATGACAACAAATGAAATGGTACAGAAGATCATATAAAAACTAATAGTCCCCTGCCTCAACCTTCCCCATCTCCATCCCACCCCCTCAAAGCCAACTTTTAACAGTTTTTAGTTTTAGTGCTACTGTTGGTTCCCTTTACAACTCTAAATAATATGTATGTTATGTTTCTTTTAAAAACAAATAGACAATATCCTACTGATGTAGCAGGAGCGGCCAAACGAATCTCTCAAACACCGAATAAAGGAGGCAGGAGTTTATTCAGCTGGGAGACCAAGCAGTAATTTGTCGAAAACCCAGCTCATCTAACAAAGGAAGGTTCTGCCTTTATATAGGCTTGTACTTTAGATGTTACACGTGGAAGAATCTTAGGTTCACAGTTTTAGGATTCACATGTGAAAAGGTTTTGGATTACAGTTTCAGGAATCACATATGAAAGGGTTCCGTTGACAGTTTTAGGACTCACATGTGAAAAGGTTTCTGGTTTTATCTTGTTTTAAGTAAAAATAGTGCCTTCTGGAGAGTTTCCCCAAGGCCTAGCCTGTCACCTATAGGAAGGTAAAACCGGAGGCACCAGTTGGTCAACCTTTTCTTCTATTGAAATGCAGCATGATAGCCAAAGGGGAAGTTGATCTGAGAAGCCTGGGTCTCCCTCTTCACCGACTCCCAGAGATGGCAATAAAGATCTTGTTTATGTACACTCCCTCACTTTTCCCTCTACTCCCCTGCAATGGTTACCATTGATTTTTGGTTTTGGTTAATTTTGTAACTTGAAAAAAATCTACTCAGACCTCTATTTCATATTCCATCCATTTTTGACAGGTAATTTTGACTCCCCACATTTTTTTTTTTTTTTTTGAGACGGAGTTTCACTCTTGTTGCCAGGCTGGAGTGCAGTGGCATGATCTCGGCTCACCATAACCTCCGCTTTCCGGATTCAAGCAATTCCCTGACTCAGCCTCCCGAGTAGCTGGGATTACAGGCATGCCCCACCACGCCCAGCTACAGGGCATGACAGGGTTTCTCCATGTTGGTCAGGCTGGTCTCGAACTCCTGACTTTGTGATCTGCCCACCTTGACCTCCCAAAGTGCTGGGATTACAGGCGTGAGCCACCGCCCCCGGTCTGACTCCCCACTTTTTAAGACAAAGATATTATGGCCACAACCCTCCCCCTGCCCATTCAATGTCCCATATTGTTAGTTTTATCTTTCCTTTTACATTGCCCTCGTTGTTAACATTTACATTCTGTTCTGCAGCCACAATCAGATCTTCCCTGCTTTGTCTCCCCAAGTTGACTCTATGATCTGAAAACCAATAAATTTGTACAAATGTTATGTATCAATAACAAAAAATTTAAAAGTAAGTAAGGTAAGAGAACTAGTCAGGTGGATACCAGCATTCACATTATCATGGCTATGTAAATATTTTTCAAAATCTGCCAAGTAGTGAGCCTGGAATATACTTCCTTCTCTTCAAGTTCAATGTCACAATCTTTGAGCCTCTCGGAGGAGAATGTGTCTAGCATCAAGGTCAAATTGAGTTTTTCTTATACTCTATTAGCTGTTCATAATCATTACATTTTATTTTGCCTTGTATTTGGCCAAGACTTTCTTGAATAATTACACACACACACACACACACACACACACACAGAGAGAGAGAGAGAGAGAGAGAGAGAGAGTTTCCAAAAGCCTTTCTTTTTTCCTTGAATTATATGCTTTTATTGTATTCACTCATTCAACAAATATTTTTTGAGTGTCTACTACGTGCCGGGTACCGTTCTAGGAGATTAGGCTAGGGCAGTGAAGAAGACAGGTAGCAATCCTTGGCCCCATGGAGCTGATTCTAGTAAGGGAGAGAGAAAAAAAATTAGATAAATCAGTAACACGTATCCAAATTAAAATGTGTGATAAGTACTATGGAGAAAATTTCAGTTTTAAATAGGTTGGTCACAACAATGTGTTGTATATTTCAAAATAGCTAGAAAAGATGACTTGAAACCTTCCCAACACATAGAAATGATAAATGCTCAAGGCAATGAATACCATAAATACCCTGACTTAATTATCACACATTCTGTGCATGTAACAAAATATCGATGTATCCCATAAATTTGTACAAATGTTATGTATCAATAACAAAAAATTTTAAAGTAAGTAAATAGGCTGGTCAGGGAAGGACTCACTGAAAAGGTGCATGTGGGCAAAGACTTGCATAAGGTAAGAGAACTACTCAGGTGGATACCTCAACCTCCCAAAGTGCTGGGATTACAGATGTGAGCCATCACATCTGGCCTAATATGTGTTCGATAAAGTTTCTTTCATTGTTTTGTTTTCTCTATCTAGAATCCCTATTATTCAAACGTTTAACTTGCTAGATTAATCTTAAATTAATCTTAAATTAATCTAAATTAATCTTTAAGAGGGCTAGAGCTCTCTTAAATTTTCTCTCATATTTTCTGTTGCCTTGAGTTTTTTGCCCTGTATTCTGGAAGATTTCCTCAATGTCATTTCCCAGTCCTGAAAAATTTATTATTTCAGTAACTTATTTTTAATTTCTAAGGAATCTCTGTTTTCTCTGATCGTTCCTGTTTTATGGCATCTAGTTCTTGTTTTATGCATGTTATATCTTCTTGAATCTTATTGAGAATAGTATCATTTTTTGCCCCTGAAGTTCTCTTTTGTATCCCAGATCCCCAAATTGCTCTAGGGTCAGTTCCAATGATTTCTTTTAGTATTTTGCTTTCATGCTACAGGCTTCCTTAATTTGCTTGAGGTTCCTTGGCTACCCATTCATATTTAAGAGGAAAGGACTGGGTAGCTGATGGGAGTTTTCTCTTTTACTGTATAAGCAGAGCTGTTCTCTAGCTAGGGTTCTCTCTCATGAGAAAATCCTGAGACGAAACTTGCTGTGGACTTGCGGGAGGTGGCAACTGACAGGTTTTGGGACCCACAGATGCCAGAATGAGAAGACTTTGTTGTGATGCCAAATGCCCTAGGACAAATATGAGTGTTCCTGGGGCAGTTTGTAAAATGTCAGAGATTTTGCCCCTGAGTGCAAGTACTGAAGCTGTCAGTGCTCCCTGTGTGGGTAGATGGAGGCGGGAGGGGCGGGGGTGGCAGGGTTCTAACTGAAGCTGATAGTCCTTGTGCAGACCTTCAAGTATTTTCCTTTTTCTCAGCCCCACTCTCATCCCCACCCTCCACAGGACCTGAGTCCAGAGTCCAGAGCACCTCAGCTCCTCCCTTCTCCCTCAACTCAGGTCTCCCTAGGACAGGGAGCTTTCCACTCTTCTGACCTCTGTCATGCCTCATCCTGCCCTCCTTCTAGCAGCTATTTACTAATCACTTACCATATGCCAAACATTCTAAAAATACAAACTCACTTAATCTTCAAAAGAACTTTATGAAGTAGGTGCTATTACTATTCTTATTTTATAGATGAAGAAACTGAGGCTACAAAGAGGTTAGTTAACTCGCTCAATATTATACAGTCAGTAAGTGGCAGAACTGAGATTCAAACCCAGGTGATCTGAGTCCAGAGCCTGTATTTTGAAACCACTGTGCTATATTCCTTCTCAGTCCTGCTCCAGCCTGTCTTGGCCTCTGGTTATTCTGGAGGTTGTAACCTTATTATGTCTGTGGGACCCCTAAATTATTATGGTATCCTGAGTAAGTCCCTCTCAGCACTAGGCTAAATACCAGGAAAGACCAGCATTGGGGGCTTGCCTTGCCAATCCCTCTCTCATCTCTGCTACCTTTTTAAGATGATCAATGCTAAGTGACCTTTCTCTGGCCCCAGTTACTGGGCTCCTGTGGATGTTTATAGGAAAGAAAAACCCCACCCTGAACCAACACACCAAACAGACAGACCCAGCACTCTGGTATGTTTAGTTTCCATTCATCTTACAGCTGGATGAGGGGAAAAAAGGAAGCATGGAACTGGCCCTTCTCCAGGCAAGATGCCAGTCCCAGCTTTTGGACAATCCTGGCTTGTGTGAGCCTCAATACCACATTCAGAGCCTTCACCACCCTTCAGGATGGTCCCTCCCTCTCAAGAGAAGGGATACCTGGAGGTTTAAAAGAGCAAGGGTTTGGAAATCGGGCTCAGATCTTCTGTACATGAACAGCAGATCCAGGCCAGAGGTGGTATCATGTCTGGGTGGAGGGATCTCATCTGTGTCAGCTTTTTGCTGACCATTCTTCTTGAACTGACATACCAGGGACCTCCTGTCCCCCCTTCATCAAGCACAAAGGTCAGTTCTGGGATGAGGGAACAAAGCTTGGGGATTTGTGATAAAATGAGCTTCTTGGGGGGAATTTGGGAAGGTTGTTCAGTCTGTTTCATGACTGAGAAGCTAGAGCCAGAGGAAAGAGGTGCTATTTGCTGAACACATGTCAAGTGCTACACCAGGGGTCCCAGAATTATTATTTAGTCCTCACAGTATCTCTGTGAGCTGGGCTATATTATTATCCCCTTTATAGGGAAGAGAAAACAGAGGTTCCAAGGTTAAGACACAGGAAGTGGCAGAACCAGAATTTGAACCTAGGTCCATCTGATCTCAAATTGTCCTCATTTCCCACTGGCCCACACTGGGAAGGAACTGGCTGTGCATCATATTTGGGAAGAGAGGGACCATTACCTCAAAAAAAGGAGAGGCAGAAGATAGATCTTGTACCTGCTGTGTGACCTCAAAATGGACGCCAGATACTTATAATGCTTGCAGTGCATGATTGTGCTTACAAGTACAATTCTTTACACCTGAAATCCTAAAGAAGAAAAAAATCAGTATTTATCACAGTGCCTTGTACAGAGTAGGATTCAATGAATGGCGGCTGCTCTGTTATATTCTAAAGCCTTGCTACTCAAAGTGAAATCTGTGGACTAGCAGCAGCAGCATCCCATGGGAGCTTGTTAGAAAGATAAAATCTCAGCCCTCACTCCAGTCTTGCTGGATCAGAATCTTCATTTTAACAAGATCTCTAGGAGAGTCATGTGCACATTAAAGTTAGAGAAGTGTTTGTCCAGAGAGGTCCCTTGATCTCTAATCTTCTGTGAGTCTTGTGTTCTGAGACTTGATCAAGCTTGCTGAAGTAATCAGGCAGGTAAACAAAATGGACGGCAGAAGCTGTTTTCCCTCTCTGGGCCTCAGTTTTTCCACCTGTATACTTTGAGGCCTGTGCAGGAATCTTGGGTTCCCAAGTAGTAGTCCATCTAGGCTGAGGACATAGTCTACCTAAAACACCTCTTCCTGTCTTCTCTCTCAGCTGTTAATGACAAGCTATTCTGTGCGCTCCACGGTGGTGTCTCGCTATGCCCACACCTTGGTCACCTCTGTCCTGTTCAATCCACATGCTGAAGTCCATGAAGCCATCTTTGACCTGGATCTGCCTCATCTTGCCTTTATCTCCAATTTCACTATGTGAGTCTGTTTCCAAAGTCACCACTTCATCCATTTGTGCATATATTTGTTCATTCTTGCATTTTTTCTGGCAGCAGAGCATAGTGATTAAGAGAACGTATACTGAGATCAGACTTCTTAAGTCTGAATCCTGGCTCTGCCAGTTTGGGATCCAGGGCAAGTTACTTCATTTCTGGGAGTCTCATTTTATACATCTACAAAGTGGGGATAAAATTAGAACCCACTTTCAATAATTAAATGAATTAATATATGTGGAAACATATGCTAGAATTAGCGCCAGGCATATTTTAAGTAGTTGATAATATTAGCTTTATTACTTTTTAAACAAATGTCTCCTGATGCTGACAGTGTGACTTACACTGTGCTGAGTCCAACAGAAAGAGGGAGGTGAACTGCATATAGTCCCTAATCTCAAAGAGTTCACAGCTTAACAGCGGGATATAAAAAAAGAAACTGGCCCAGCACTGTGACTCACACCTGTAATCCCTGGGGGAGGATTGCTTGAGGCCAGGAGTTCAAGACTAGCTTGGGCAATATAGGAAAAACCCATCTCTAGAAAAACATTAAAAATTAGCAGGGCGTGGAGGCACATGCCTATAATCTCATCTACTCGGAAGGCTGAGGCAGGAGGATCGCTTGAGCATGCGAGGTTGAGGCTGCAGTGCACTATGATCTGCACTCTAGCCTGGATGACACAGTGAGACTGTCTCTAAAGAAGAGCGTTGGGTTGAGGGGCAGCTAGCAGATTACTTTAGTAAAGTATGCTAGGGAAAAAGGGAAGTCTCAATGTGAAATGGTTGAAATGGTGAGGTGGACCAGAAGACAATGGTGAGTTTCCTATTCCCAGGCTGGTGGAGAAAACTTCAGAAAGATGACACCTAAACTGAGGCTTGAAATAGGACATCTTCACCAGGCAACCAGGGTGAGGGCAGGACTGGAGGAATCCAGGAAAAAGGAATAAAGGCACAAATGTTCCCTCAATTAGAGGAACTGCAAGTAATTCCATGTCGCCGTACTGTCAGGGACAGACAAGAGGTAGAAGAGTGGTAAAAAAAAATGAGACGTGAGGCACAGAGAAAGACGAGGCTGTGGAGGGCTTCCAATGTTAGAACACCTACCTGGGTCTCACTTAATGGTCTCTAAACCATCTCATGTGTTTGCACACCTATAGGAAAAACTTGATCATATACTCCCAAAACATATGTACTTACTAATTTATGTGTTATATAAATATACTACTGAGCAAATATATTAGGTACATTATGAAGCATATAAATATTAATCACTAAAGGATGAGGAAAAAGCCCTATGAATAGAGTGGGAATATTATTTTCCCACTCCCTCTCGATTTGTCTCCAGCATCCCCTGGGGCATGTGTACCCCTCTTTAGAAATAAGTGTGGGCCATAATGAGGAGACCTGGCAAGGTTTTAAGCAAGGAGAGATGATTGTGAAGTGGTAGTGGGCTGGAGGGGCCAGCTAGGTGGCCAGGAGCTGAGTAGGCAAATGGGGCAGAACCCACGTTGGGGATGCGGAAGGTGGGAGCAGAACGACGGTGGTGGATCTGAGAGACCATCCAGGGAGAAACAACCTGACTGTGACTGTAATGGGGAGTAAGTCAATATCGATGGTGTTTACCTTTTTGCTGCTTGTTAGACCTGGTAGACAACAGTGCCCTGTTGAGGTGATAAACAAGGAAGCCAGAGCAGATAAAGAGAAAGCTTAGTGAGGCCTGATTAGCCAGTATCACACCTTAGTGTGAATTACAAAAAGGCCCCTGCCTTAAGGAAGAGGGACTGTCAGATTTACTAGATTACTGAGCCAAGCACAAACAGAGTATCTGCCCTTGCTCAGCCCCACTTGTCCCTGTTAGTTGGGAGAAGGTTCTTGTGCCATCAATAATCTGTACAACCTGAAACAGCAGCCCTGGGTTGGGTCTAGGCTGTGCCGTCAAGAACCTCCTGGCACTTCTCCTGGAAAAGGATTGCGTTAGAGGAGGGGACCGGTATGGAGTCAGAGCCAGGGAGTTTAGGGGAGAAGTGCTGAGGCAGTCAAGGAGGGCTTCCTGGAAGCAGGATTTCCATATGGGTAAGATTTGAAGGGAAAAAGATCATTGCGTGTTGGGACCCAGAGGAATCAAGGATCAAAAAGAGCAGGCATGGGTCTGGAGTATGGGGGCTAACCAGAGAGGCTAGCAGTCAAATGATGTAAGGGCCAAGTAGTCAAGCAGAATTTGGATTTTTGCTTCAATAGAAAAAAAAAAAACACCAAAAGAATTTTCGAAAAAAAATTAAGCAAAGCAGGCTGGAGGAAATGTTCTTGGGCAGACTCTGTGGAAAGTATGCTGGCTGGAGGCAGCACACACACAGAGGCCCCAGTGTCCTGCTGCCAGACCAGCTCCACCCTACCCCCCTCACCCTCCAGGAGACCTTGAGGAGGTGCCAGCTCGGCCCACCCCCACACCAGCCCAGCCACAGCAATACTCTGTTTCAGCTGCCTAGAAACACTTCTTGCCTGAGTGGTCTCTTCTGCCGCCTGCCTATCCTCCCTCAGTGTTCCTGGAAGCTCCTGCCTTAGTCAAGCAACTTTTCTGATACCTGTGCCTCAGTTACTCCATTTGTAAAATAAAAACTGTTGTACTTGCCTCCTACAGACTTGCACTAACTTCCTCTAGGACACCTAACTATCACTCCTCAAAGGTCAGCTCTGACCCATCCCTCCTCTTTGCAAGATTTGTCCAAGATGCTCCATTCACCATGGCAAAAAGTCTTTGCGGCTGTATGAGCTCATTGAGTCTTGTGTTCAAAGCCCCCTATTCTGTAGGCCCACTCTTCCACTCCAACTTTCTCTCCACACCTCCCTTCTCTGACCCTCCACTCCAGCCAGATTTGAGTACTTGCTGTCCCCTGAAACACACTCTGTGTTTTCCTGCTGTCTGTCCAGGATGTCCACTCCACAGATAATTGTTGAGTACCTCCTCCATGCCAAGCCATATTCCAGGCACCACAGATACAGCAGCAAATAAAGTGGTAAGCGTCAATCAGATTGTGGATGTCTTCTAAAGATGGAGCTGAAAATCCCTGATGGATCGAATGTGGACTGTGAAACAAAGAGGAGTATCCAACACGACTCTAAGATTTTTAGCTGAGCAACTATATCCTGACACAAGGATACCAGAGGAGGAGCAGATTTGGGAGGGGAGAGTTATCAGGAGCGCAGTTTTGGATATGTTCAGCTTGAGGTGTCTGTGGAACATTCTAGTGGAGATGTCAACTAAGCAACTGGATGTATGGGTCTGGAGTTCAGGGCACAAGTCCACACTGGAGATAGAGATTTGGGAGTCATCTGTGTATAAAGGGTATTTAAGGCCATGGTACTAAATGACATCACCTAGAGAGTCAATGTAGAAAGAACATAGGACGGAAGGGGAGAGGGAGGGAGACGAGAGGACAAAAGGTTGACAACAGAGCCTTGGAGTGTTCCAAAGATTTAGAGGTCAGGAAGAGAAAGAGCCAACAGAGGAAACTGAGAAGGCATGGCCAGTGAGGATTACCTATCCACATTCTCCCTGTCTTTCAGGCCTAGCTTCAAGGCTACCTTCTCTAGGACCCTTTCCTGAAGACTTGGGCAAAAGTGTTCTCTCCCTTCTTTGAGCTTCCTTTTACTTTATTAGCTTCCTTAGAAAAACAGGGAAAACAGGGGTAAGCAAGTCTGAGCTCCCTGCAGACGAGGCCTCCTCCTTAGTCAGGCCCAGAAGCCTTTGCACACTTCTTTCACAATTTTTCATACCACTCATATTATTTACTTAATATATTTTATATTAGTATGGCTGTATTACTGAATTTTTTTTCAATAGATACGTCTTCTGAGTTAGTCTTATTCTGAGCAACAATATCTATGAGATCATGGGTTTAATGTGCTAGGCGTATTTTTGGTAAACATTACTGTAAATACATAACAATTATAATTAAAACATTCAGTTATATCATACCTGACATTATGTTGTGTGCCAAAGGTAGAATTCATTCAGCACTTTGGGAAACACGAAACTCTAACACCAGGTCCGCCATATGCTGCGTGGCCTCTATTTCCCCATCTGACAAATGGAGATAATGATAACTACTGCACTGTTTGTCTCTTTCCTTTTCTCTCCTTTTCTTGCCATTCACACTGGGGCTTTCTGGCACCGTGCTGTTCTTTCTCTTTCCCGATCTCTACCCTTCTCCTCTCTCTACCTCATGTGTCTCTTGCTCTGTCTCTGACCAACTCTTTATTTTCTGTCTCTGCTGTCCCTCCTCTTTCTTGCCCCCTTAGGACCATCAACAGTGAAGTCTACATTGCAGAAGTCAAAGAGAAACACCAGGCAAAGAAAATCTATGAAGAAGCCCATCAGCGGGGAAAAACAGCTGCTCACGTAGGCATCAGGTAAGGCCCCATCCAGTTAACATGACTTAATCATCTCAGCTGTGTGACCAGGGGAGATGCACGTTCCCTCTGGTCCTCAGTCTCCATCTCTGTAAAGTGGGGACATGACGTCTACTTCATAGGATCATGTGAAGATGATGTGAATTAATGAATATCAAAGCCTGTAACAGAGTGGGTGTTCAATAAATGGAAATTTACTTCCCCATTTCCACTTTTCTACTGTCAGCAGATTGTGGCTTATTTAAGAACTGGCACCTTCCGGGAAGGTTACATTCAAGTGAGATTTTTCTAAATTGAATTTTGTTTCCTGAGTTCCATTCAGCCGACAGAAATGTATTGTCTTCCTTCAGTGTTTCCTCCCAGCTTCCAAGAGAGTTTCATGGAGTGAAAAACTTTAGCTTTGCCTCCAGCAAACTGAGTTACTGCCATATACACAAGCTCCTTCAAAATCACAGGGGAGGGGATAGGGGGAGGGGCTATTAGAAGGGGATGAGGCATTGTATGTAAATTGAACTACTCTTTTGTAAGATGAATCATTAGACTCTAGTTGGTCTGTTCTAGATTCAGATTTTCATGGACTAAGTTCCTTAAGACTGGGCCACCTGTGAGATAATTTCTCAAGCAGATTATTTAGGAGGTTGAATGAGGGAAGGAGGGAGAGAGAGACTGATGAGTGTGTGCATGGATGACAGACCATGGGCCAGTGACTCAGTTGAACAAGAAGCCTAGTCAGGTCTGCTGGGACCAGGGTTAGGTGGAGCAAAACTAGGCCATCCAACAGTCCCTGTACTCCTCAGAAGATTCCTTTCTCTTCCCACCCTCCTCCCTTTCCTGCCCAGGGACCGGGAATCAGAGAAGTTCCGCATCTCCACCAGCCTGGCAGCAGGCACAGAGGTGACTTTTTCCCTGGCCTATGAGGAACTGCTTCAGCGGCACCAGGGCCAGTACCAGCTGGTGATGAGCCTGAGGCCTGGCCAATTGGTGAAGAGGCTGAGCATAGAGGTTACAGTGTCAGAAAGGACAGGCATCTCCTATGTGCACATACCACCCCTGAGGACCAGCCGCCTGCGCACCAACACCCATGCAAGTATGTGGGCAGCACTATGGGTCACCCATCAGACTTGGCCTTCCCTGATTGAGAACCTTCCCGATTCCATTGGATTTCCCTCTAGTGTCACTTCTGCTCTGTACTCGCTGCCAAGTTCCTTACTGATTCAGTGAGAAGAGGGCATGTTTGAAGTTGAAAATATTTGGATTTTAACTTCGGCCTGGTCCTGACAGGCTGTATGACCCGGCACATTACAAACTTCCCAGACTCTTGATTTCCCTAGAAAAAACATCAGTGATAAGGGAGGGTTTGTAGGGTAGGCTAATGAAGTTAAATCATGGGTTAACCATGCTGAAGGTTGTAGAAGTCACACTGGCCAAAACGTGCTTTTCCCTGGATCCCCACTGAGAATGGCAGGACAGTGAGCGCACAGTAAGTGCAGGCTCCCTGGAGGACACCGTCTCATGTCCTGGAGGGAAGAGGTATCCTGCCTGAACAGGCTTGCTTCACATTTCACCCAGAGGTTTTGGAAGACCAGACTGGCTACATCAGAATCACAACATGGGCTCCTAGAAACGCAGGTTCCTGGAGCCCAGCCTTCAGGGTCTGGTTCAGTACCAAGGGGGTGGGGCCCAGAAAGCTGTGTCTTTAACCAGTTTCAGTGGCCTTGACCTCCAGCCAGGCTGGAGAGCCACGGAGCCGGCCTGCTCACCTCATCTGAGAGATGGGAGGACAGGCGCAGAGAAATCCCCAGTGCATGTGTCCGCCCATATAAAGCTGTTTAGCATTGGCGGTCCCACCTGATTCCACCCTGTTGACCCAGAGAGGCATTGTGGTGGACAGCAGATGTAGCACACACAGACAGACACACACTGGAACCAAATCCCAGCGCTGACACTCCCCTAATGTGGGACCGTCAAAGCCGATCACTCCATTGCTCGACTTCACTTTTCCCATCTGTAAAATAGACGAGATGGCATCTACAGCCCAGGACCGTTGTGAGACTTTGAGAGAATTCCTCCCTCCCGATTATGCGGTACAGAGAAGATGGCATGATTATGGTACTCGTTAGCATTAGGTGGCATTCACTGAGATGCAGCTATGGCTCCAAACGCTTTACATGAATGGCCTCGTTTATTTCCCACAAGCCCTGCCTATGAAGTAGGAGCTGTGGTCATGCCTGTGCTGTAGATGAGGATCCAGAGGCTTACAGGGACACACAGCAGCAGCGGGGACCTGGGCCCACAGGCCATCTGAGTCCCTGCAGCCTGAACTCTTCAGCCCTAAGCTATAAATGGCAGGTCCCTCCCCCATTCTCCTTAAAGGTTAAAACAGAGGGTCGAAACAATCCTGTGGGGGAGAAAGCAGAACAAAGAGCTCTGAGAGGAAGGAAGCCAAGGGAATGTATGTGAGCAGGCGCCTCAGAGAGTGTGGGGCTCCGTGTGCCCCTGAGCTTCCTGACAGCTGTAGCAGGAAGGAGGGGGAGCAGAATTCCCAAGGTTCCATTTTCTCGTAAAAAGGGAGGCACAGAGACATTTCTAAATGGACATTTGTCTTGGATTCCAGAGGAGATGATCTTGTGGCCAGCTCAGCAAACATCCGGGACCAGAGATTCCTCTGTGATTTCATGAGACTCTAAAAGGCTTGTTCTCACACGTGATGCCCAGAGTCAGAAGGCAGAAAGAAAAGAAGAAATAGCAAATCTGATCCAGAAGACAACCTTGCTAGGCTGCTGTCTCCCACAGCAGTGGGGGGAACGGAGGAGACCCAGACCTTGTCTGTGTGTCTGTCTGTCTCCTGGACACACACTAACTGCGCTGCTTCTCTGGGAAGAGACGCTGGCTGCTGGTCTACCTCAGGACATGCCACGTCTCCAAAGACTGGGCCCCAGGTTGCATGGGCAGTGAGGCAGGGTGAGGTTACCAGTGAGGATCACACTGCCAGGGCCTGGGAGCTGAGGGCCAGGCTGAGTCTGTCCAGCTGGGCCTGATGGAGGAGGCAGACAGGAGCTGACTGTGGGACTGGGAGAGGAGCACGGGGCAGGTGGAAGGGTGTTGTAGGCAGGAGGCACCAGAGGTTGGCCAGGGGTTACACGTCTCACCCTCCCCAGATAGCACCCCTTACCCCTTGTGCTGCCCTTTCCCTGGCTCTTCTGTCTGACGAGCCCTCTGTACAGCCCTGCCGCAATCCTCCCCACCCATACAGGTGAGGTGGATTTACCCCCATCCACCAAGATCGAGAGGGGAGAGACCTGTGTTCGAATCACCTACTGCCCGACATTGCAAGACCAGTTGGCCTTCTCTGGCTCAGGCATCATGGCCGACTTCCTGGTGCAGTACGATGTGGTCATGGAGGACATTATTGGAGATGTGCAGGTGAGGGGGCCTGGGGAAGGGGTGAAAAGGTTGGCTCTCGGGTCAGACAGGCCTGAGCAATGATCAGTCCTCTCCAGGTTGTTCACTCTAGTTTCCCTAGGGATAAGCGAGTCCTAGAGAACAAGAACACGCTGACGTGAAAAGACACGTGGCTTCAACCTTGGGAGGCACATTGAATCCCCCAAAGGGTTGGAGACCTGGAACTGTCTTCACTGAATCAAGTGCTCGAAGGACCCATCCTTAACTGAAGCAAGTCATAGCCCACACCAAGACAGTCATTCTGCAAAGTGAACCCTTGACCACAACTGGGCACCCATGCTCATGGGCTCTCACTTGTTCTGCAGCTCCTATGCTCTCCTGTGTTCTCTGGGACTTCCTTGCTCTTTCTCGGCTTTTAACACTTTTTGCTTCAGTGGAGTCATCTGCCTAAACAGGGAGCCCTTCAATTCTGAGCTTCCACACTCATGAAAAACAGCAGAGGTCCCAAGCTCTCTCAGACATGAATGCACAGACCACTGATCCCAGGGGTCTGGCGTGAGCATGAGGATCCTGGGGCAGCCTGAGACATCTGGTCCCACCCTGCATCTCCCACCACAGGACTCTCAACCCCAGCAGACAAACCACCCTCCAGCTGCCCCACACCACACCACACCACACCACACCACAACACAACACACCGCACCGCACCGCACCGCACCGCAACACACCACACCACAACACACCACACCACACCACACCACACCACACCACACCACAACACACCACACCACACCACACCACACCACACCACACCACACCACAACACACCGCACCGCACCGCACCGCAACACAACACACCACACCACAACACACCACACCACACCACACCACACCACAACACACCACACCACACCACACCACACCACAACACAACACACCACACCACACCGCAACACACCACACCACAACACAACACACCGCACCGCACCGCACCGCACCACAACACACCACACCACACCACAACACACCGCACCACAACACACCACACCACACCACAACACACCACACCACACCACACCACACCACACCACACCACACCACACCACACCACACCACAACACACCACACCACACCACAACACACCACACCACAACACAACGCACCGCACCGCACCGCACCGCACCACAACACACCACACCACACCACAACACACCACACCACACCACAACACACCACACCGCACCACACCACACCACAACACACCTTTCTCCGAAGCACCCGAGCCTGCCTCTCGTCTGTGTGAGCATTTGCTCATGTTGGCTGCTGCTCTGAGAACGACTTCCTCCTCCTTGCTCCACTACTCAGCATCCTCGTGTCCCTGAAACCCTGCCAAAACACCTCCTCCTTGATGACTGCAGTCCATCAACAATTCCTGTGTCTGCCCTGGACTAAAAGTGTCCTGTGGTTAAACCTCTTATCATGCATCATTCATTCATTCATTTGTTGAATGAATATGTGGACTAGGCCAGTCCTGTACTCATTGACTCTGACAACTCAGAAGTGAGTCAGACACAGCCACTCATCTCCCTCTGCCATCTCCCCATCCAGAAGCAGCCAGATACACAGAGCCTTGACAGCCATCAATGTTCTAGGTGCTATGTATAAGTCTGTCATGGGTTCTGCGGGGGTGCCAGTGGAGGAGGGTTTCAGGACCATCACCCTAAAGGAGGTGGAATTAAAGTTAGCATGGGAAAAATGAATCAGATGTATCTGCAAGTCGGTCATAAGGTGAAGGGAAAAGCATGCAGAGAGAAGGAAAAGAACGTGCAGAGGCACAGAGGTGTGGCTCAGTCTGTTGTGTAGGGGTGTAGAAGTTACTCTCTTGTCAGGACAGGAGCTGAGGGTACCTTGCCAGCAGGTGGCAGCAGGGGCTTTCACCTGGTGTTCTGTCGTGTGGGTGTGTTTAGTTCACGGAGGCATTCCTCTGCTGGTTCATTCCTTACCATTACCACAGCTGCCTGCAGTCGAAATACAGATGGAAGGCATGGGATTAGGCATTGACTAGTACAACCAGGAACTCCCATGCACCGTGAGCCCTGAACCCCACTGATACCCCGCCAGGAGCACTCGGTTCAGCTCCCACTTCCTACTTGAGTATGCCCCTCATTCAAAGCTCAGCACATCCACCCCGCTGGGGATCACTGGGCACCTAATCCGTGTCATACACCTTATCGTGTTGGCCAACGTTGGGAGCTCCGAAGGGTATCACACATACAGCCTACTTACCGTCTCTGGGTAAGACACAGGAACCCAGTACGGGCACCAGGGTAGGAGTGTCCCTTCCATGACACACAAGGTAGGATGGAAGCCATAATGAAGAGGAAAGGCAGTCCGAGATGGTTCCCCGGAGGAGACCAAGGCTGACCTGTGTGCTAAGGAATGAGTAAAAGTGGGCCATGGAAGGCGGCCTGTGGGAGGGAAAGGCATTCCAGCAAAGTGGTGGCTGCACGAGAAAAGAACCAGGCTAAGACTCACAAATAGCTTGGCATTCTGGAGCCGAGATGTGAGATGAGAAACCCAAAGAGCCACATAGAAGGCTGGAGGGTCCTGCAGGGCAACACAAGGAACATGGCATTTGTCCTGTAGGTGACCAGGGAGCCATGAGAGAAAATGGCGTGGCGAGTTCGTGTTTACAGAGTCCCAGCCGCTGCCTCTGAGCAGCATGGATGGGAGAGGCCACGTAGAAGAGGGAAACCTGAGGAAAATGAGACCTGAGCGTGGGCTTGGTCAGTGAGGGATGAAGAGGAGGGTGGCCCGGAGAAGTGTCCAGCAGAGAAAAGCAACAGGAATTGGAGGCAGATTGGCTGCAGGGAATGGGGGCCACCCGAGGATTGAAGGCAACACTGAGATTTGTCTCCAGAGTGAGCATGTGGATGATGGTGCCCCTGACTGGGGAGGCATGCAAGGGCCACGTAGGGGCAGGACAACAAATTCACTGTTTGGGCAGGATGCATGGGAGGCTTCTTGAGACAAAGCAGGGCACAGGTCCAGCAGTGAGTGTGCACCCACTGGTGAGGGGCAATTGTGGGAGCTCTAGATGGGGGAAGAGATTCGGAGTGACTGGTAGGGGTCCTGTGGTGGAAGCCAAGCGACAGGGGGAGGTCACCCAGGGAGTGTGTGTGGAGCCAGAAGGGAAGATCCCTCAAGGCACAGCTGAGGTGGAACGGCCCGATCCAGCAGCTATGGATCCCCTGGGCCGCCCCATCGACTGCACACAGCCTACCCAGAGCCCCAGTCCCCAGCAGTTCACTCCGTTGAGCTGCACCAGCACGATCATTTTCTTTTCATGCTTGACCTGACAAATATCGGCAAGCACTGCGAAGGGAGTGGGCAGACAGAGGCGGGAGAGAGTCAGGAGAGCTCGCTGTCGCAGATGGCAGCGAAAAACACCTTTGGAAGACAGCATTTTGTTATCCATGTTCAACTGTGACGTACATAGGCGGGGGAGGCAGTCCCAAGAGACTCACAATACAGCCTTTGGGTTTGTTTCAGTAGAGTTATTTTTCATTTTTGTGGGTACACGGTAGGTGTATTTATGGGGCAAGTGAGATGTTTTGGTACAGACAAGTGATCCGTAGTAAGCGCATCATGGGGTACCCATCCCCTCAAGCATTTGTCCCTGTGTTACAAACAATCCAGTTACACTCTTTGACTTACTTTTAAGTGTACAATTAAATTATTATTGACTATGGTCACCTGACATGCTATCAAATACTAAGTCTTATTCGTTATTTCTCACTTTTCTTTGTACCCATTAACCATCCCTGCCTTCCCCCGATCTCCCCACTACCCTACAGCCCCCAGCCCCTGGTAACCAATCTTCTACTCTCTACCTCCATGAGTTCAACTGCTTTCATTTTTTAGATCCCACCAATGAGTGACAACATGTGAGATTTGCTTTCGTGTGCCTGGCTTATTTCATGTAACATAATCATCTCCAGTTCCATTCATGTTGTTGCAAATGATAGGATCTCATTCTTTTTTATGGCCGAATAGTACTCCACTGCGTGTAAGTACCACGTTTTCTTTATCCATTCATCCATTGATGGACACTTACGTTGTTTCCAATTCTTGGCTATTGCGAACAGACTGTAATAAAAGGAGGGTGCAGATATCTCTTGGATATACTGATTTTCTTTCTTTTGGGTGTATACCCAGCAGTGGAATGGCTGGATTGCATGATGAAGCTCTAAGTTTTAGTTTATCGGAGCCTCCTCACTGCTCTCCATAAGGTCGTACTAATTTACATGCCCACCATGTAAATGGTGTATGGGGTTCCCTTTTCTCCACATCCTCGCCAGCATTTCTTATTACCTGTCTCTTGGGTAGAAGCCATGTTAGCTGGGGTGAGATGATACCTCATTGTAGTTTTGATTTTCATTTCTCTGATGATCAGTGATGTTGAGTACCTTGTCATATGTCTGTTTGCCATTTGTATGTCTTCTTTTGAGAAATATCTTTTCACATCTTTTGACCTTTTTTGATTGTATTTTTCAATTTTTTCTTAAGGAGTTGTTTGAGCTCCTTATATATTCTGGTTAAGAATCCCTGGTGAGATGGGTAGTTAGAAACTATTTTGTCCCATTCTGTGGGTTGCCTCTTCACTTTGTTGATCATTTCCCTTGCTGTGCAGAAGCTTTTTAACTTGATGTAATCGCATTTGTCCACTTTTAGTATGGTTCCCTGTGCTTATTGGGCATTATTCAAGAAATTTTTGCCCAGACCAATGCCCTAGAGATTTACCCAAGGTTTTTTGTAGTATTAATAGCATCCTAGTTTGAGGTCTGGGATTCAAGTCTTCAATCTACTTGGATTTGATTTTTGGATATGGTGAGAGAGAGGTCTAGTTTCACTATTCTACATATGGACAGCCAGTTTGTCCAGCACCATTTATTGCAGAGACTGTTCTTCTCGCAGTGTATGTTCCTGGAACCTGTGTTGAAAATCATTTCACTACAGATTAGTGTATTTCTGGGTTCTCTATTGTTTTCCCTTGGTTTATGTGTCTGTTTCTATCCCAGTACCTATCTGTTTTTGTTGCTATTGCTCTGCAGTATAATTTGAAGTTAGGCAATGTGATTCCTCCAGTTTTGTTCTTTTTGGCTTAGGATAGCTTTGGCTATTCTGGGTCTTTTCTGGTTCCATTTAAATTTTAGAATTGTTTTTTCAATGTCTGTAAAGAATGTCTTTGGGATTTTGATAAAGGTTGCTTTCAATCTGTAGATTGCTTTAGGTAGTATGGACATTTTAACAATGTTGATTCTTCCAATCCATGAATATGGAATATCTTTCCGTTTTTTTGTGTGTGTCCTCTTCAATTTCCTTTAACAGTGTTTTATACTTTCCATGATAGAAATGTTTCACTTCTTTGGTTAATTCCTAATACTTAATTTTATTTGTGCATATTATAAATGGGATTTATTTTCAAATTTCTTTTTAGATTGTTCACTGTTGGCATATACAAATGCTAGTGATTTTGTTTTGTTGATTTTTTACCCTGCAACTCTACTGCATTTGTTTATCAGTTCTAATATTTTTGTAGGATCTTTACGGGTTTCTAAGTATAAGATCATATCATCTGCAAACAAGAATAACTTGACTTCTTCCTTTCCAATTCAGGCGCCCTTTACTTCTTTTTTTTTTTGTCTGCTCTAGGTAGGCCTTCCGGTTCTTTGTTAAATAACAGTGGTGAAAGTGGACATCTGTGTCATGCTCCAGACCTTAGAGGAAAGGTTTTCTGTTTTTCCCCATTCGGTATGATACTAGCTGTGGGTCTGTCATATATGGCTTTTATTATGTTGAGGTATGTTCCTTCCATTCCCAGTGTTTTGAAGGTTTTTGTCATGAAGAACTGTTGAGTTTTATTAAATGCTTTTCCAGCATTAATTGAAATGGTCATATGGTTTTTGTCCTTCATTCAGTTGATATATATCACATTGCTTTGCATATGTTCACCCACCCTTACATCCCAGTGATAAATCCCACTTGGTCATGATGATCTTTTGAATGTGCTATTGAGTTCAATTTGCTAATATTTTGTTGCAGATGTGTGCATCCATATTCATCAGAGTCATTGGCCTGTAGTTTTCATTTTTTGATGTGTCTTTGTCTGGTTTCAGTATCAGGGCAATACTGGTGATGTAGAACGAGTTTGGAGGTATTCCATCCTCCCCTATTTTTTGGAATAGTTTGAGTAGGATTGGTATTAGTTCTTCTTAAACTGTTTTGTAGAGCTGGGTGCTGTGGCTTGCGCCTGTAATCCCAGCTCTTAGGGAGACAGAGGCAGGAGGATAGCTTGGGCCCAGGAGTTCGAGACCTGCCTGGGCAATATAGCAAGACCCGTTCTCCACAAAAAGGAAAAAGACAAAAATAAACAAAACAACAAAAATAAGCATAACTGTGTTGCAGAATTCAGCCATGAAGCCATCAGGTCCTGGCCTTTCTTTACTGGGATACTTTTTACCATAGCTTTGATCCTGTTGTGTGTTATTGTTGTTTGTGCTGTGAATTTCTTCATGCTTTACTCATGGTAGGTTGTATGTGTCTAAGAATTTGTCCATTTGTTCTAGATTTTCTTTTTGTTAATTTAACTTTTATGTTCAGGGGTACACATGCAGGTTTGTTATATAGGTAAATGTGGGTCATGGGGGTTTGTTGCACAGATTATTTTATCACCCTGGTATTAAACCTAGTACCCATTAGTTATTATTAGTTGTTTTTTGTTTTTTTTTTTTAATTTTGAGACAGAGTTTCGCTCTTGTTGCCCAGTCTGGAGTGCAATGGTGCAATCTTGGCTAAATGCAACCTCCCTTCTTGGGTTCAAGCGATTCTCCTGCCTTAGCCTCCCAAGTAGCTGGGATTACAGGCACCTGCCACCACGTCCAGCTAATTTTTTTTCTCTTTTTTTGGTATTTTTAGTAGAGACAAGGTTTCACTATGTTGGCCAGGCTGGTCTTGAACTCCTGACCTAAGGCAATCACCCGCCTCAGCCTCTCAAAGTGCTGGGATTACAGGCATGAGCCACTGTGCCCAGTCCATTAGTTATTTTTGTTTGTTTGTTTGTTTGTTTGTTTGTTTGTTTGTTTTGAGACAGAGTTTCACTATTGTTGCCCAGGCTGGAGTGCAATGGTGCAATCTTGGCTCACAGCAACCTCGGCCTCCTGGGTTCAAGCGATTCTCCTGCCTCAGCCTCCCAAATAGCTGGGATTACAGGCATACACCAGCATGCCCAGCTAATTTTGTATTTGTTGTAGAGATGAGGTTTCTCCATGTTGGTCACACTGGTCTCAAACTCCCAACCTCAGGTGAGCCGCCTGCCTCGGCCTCCCAAAGTGTTGGGATTACAGGTGTGAGCCACCGTGTCTGGCCCCAT